TCCCAGGCGCCCGCCTCGCGCAGGTGTTCGTGCAGCCCGCCAACGTGGCCGTCACCAAGATGGACGTGAGCAACCTGGCCATGGTGATGGCGCCCAACTGCCTGCGCTGCCGGTCGGACGACCCCCGTGTCATCTTCGAGAACACTCGCAAAGAGATGTCCTTCCTGCGCGTGCTCATCCAGCACCTGGACACCAGNCCCCCACCCGGGCCCGAGGCCCCAGCCGGGGCAGAGGGACTTTGAAAAGGGTGCTTCTGGCCCCATCCGCCTCACGAACAGTTCTGAGGGTACCGCCCACCCCACCCCCCACTGCCTGGTGGGTCAGCCCCAAGAAAGTGCCTTCTGTTTCCTGGAGCCAAGTGACACTGCCCCACCCGGGCGCCCGAGGGCACACACTGCCTCCCAGGGGCTCCTGTGCTCAGCCGGGGCCTGGCCTGCACCCTGCCGCGTGCCCTCGCCCTCAGTCTCCTACCCGCCGCTTCCCCCCAGCCCCCTGCGGCCTCCAGCACAGTAACTAACTGCACAGGAGTTCGGGGCTCCAGGGCACTGCGCTGTCCACCAACAGGGCCAGGGCCAGGGCCAGGCAGGCGGTCTCTGCGTGGGGAGGGGCCCCCCGAACCAAAGTCCTCTGGGGGGGGTGCAGGCTTGGGCGGGCATTCTTGGGGCAGGGTGGGGGAGGGTTGAGAGTATTTTTCCTTGGTTCCATTATAAGTTCAGAATCTATCTGCAGCCCAGCCCGCCTGTGTATAGAGATATAAATAGAGGGAGATATAAGAGCTAAATTTGCTAATGACATAGTTTTAACCTAAATGCTATTTATCTCCAAGCCATCCCGGCCCATCCTCTGTGCAGAGCAAGTACCATTCATTTTTCTTCTCCACTTCTTGGCTTCTGACCAAAAACCAAACCCTGCCCCCTTCCCAGGGGACCTGCAGCAGACAAGAGGGAAGGAGCTGAGCTGGGGAGCCAGAGGGTGCCCGCCTCTGCCCTTCCCGAGGCCAGCGCTGGGGCGACGGGACACCTAGACTCTCAGTTGTACATTTTCCATTTCGGAATTTTCAGTTCCAAGTATAAAACTTAATTTCTCCCCAGCTTTTATATATATATATTTTTAGAGTTGAGTTTTTATTTATTAAAAAAGCCCAGCCCTGCAGAGGCCCGGGTACCCTGGGGGTGTGTCCTCAGTCGGGTGGTCTTTGGGCCCGGGTGGGGCGACCTGGTCACAGACTCTTGCTCAGACGCATGGACTGGAGAGGTGACAACTCTGTGTGAATAAAGTACATGTGGAAACCTGAGAGCCATGGTCGCTGCCTGTTCCTTCCGCGGCTGCAGGCGTCCGGGCAGCGGCAGGCCGGTGGCTGGCACACGGGCACCTGGGTCGACGGGCCCGGGGCGCGGCGGTGGGGGTTGGGGAGGCAGGGGGGCGGTTGAGGCTCTG